AATGTTCGGTTAGCGTTTAGCGCAGGTGGTAGCGGTCTTGCTTCTCAAGCGAGGGGAGGCGGGAAGCAGCGCTGCTAGCGAACTCATCACAGCGTAATGCTGCAACGTAGCAAATTAAGATGGTATCGAGTGTTTGACAAAGAATGTGAGCACACGAAGCGCTGCAGCAGAGGTAAAAAAGCTTTTTTCTCGATGAATCAGAACCGGAATCGTGCATATTTGAGTCGAGGTGGGCCCATAACAACACATCTCACCACCAAGGCAAAGTAACAAGGGAAGTCATTTGGGAAGAGAAAAGAGAAGTTTCCAGTAGGATGCAGGGAAGGACTCTCATGTGAAATAAAAATCGAGATTCGTTGTCGCTCAAGGCTGAAACGTGGTGAAATGTTTCGACGTCCATTCCCGTAATGACAAAATTTTGCACTCTGGGTTGGATCCTCCGGATTCGTCTTGATTAGCGTCAACGCTGAGATTAAGGTTCATCCTCTCCACCATTCCATAACTGTAGTCTCCAGACAACCCCCACAGAACAAGTTTCAAGAATTCAAGAGGTCAACCTGATTTATAGAAAGCGGTTATTATTGTTTTCTATCTTTACCTGGCATTAGCTGTTACCGCCCACCGCTTAAGGTGGGGCTTGGCTGGCATAGGGTGTGAAATCAGTTGGGTTGATTGCCACACCAATTGCTGCACGAGCCAGCAATAGCTGGCAATCCTGAAAACTTATTCCAGCAAATCTTTGGTATGCCCACCCTCTCTACTGCTGTTGAAGGAGGCGTCGCATTTTCGGCTTTGAAGCTTTTTCGTTTTTCCTTTATCTCTTCCATTTTGCACCTCTACAATCATAGCGTCATAGTATCGTAAATCGAACCAGGCCTTTGCCTTCAGGTCAGTAGTGGGCCGCGAAATTCAACGTATGACTTGGAAACGAGGTCGTCGTCGTCCTGCTTGAGTGATGATAATGAATTCGTTTCGGAATAATATGTTCGCCAGCTTATACTCTCCATCAAGGATTGGCAGAATTGGTTGTCAGCTCAGCTCTTTCAATCGCTGAGCGTCGTGTCTTCTCGATAGTGTAGCGAATTCAAGATCGCAACGAGATGGGATATGACAGTCTTCACGAAACCGAGCTTTGGTTTCCGTAAATCACCTGACAATACCGCTTTTTCCAGTGCCGCGTTCGTCTCCAAGTCGTCCGTCGGAAGGACGGTTGCCAACCAATGGTCTCTGTATTTTTTCGACGTTGTCAATTCTCTGAAAGCTTGCTCAAGGGGTGATCAGGGCCTCAACCACAAACTAGCGTTGGTTTTTTGTTGGCAATTTGGCAACAAATCCATTTGGCACTGTGAATTCATTGCACTAACTTCATATGAAGCATGAAATCCGCAATGACACCAAATCGATTCGGAACTATTTTGGAGGCTACAATTAAAAAATAATCTTCCATGTAGCAACGCTGGTCCACTACGCTACCCACCTGACCATCAGTTCTCTTCAGTGAAGTGTATGTCGGCGACAATATGAAACCTCTACCCTATCTTTAGCACGTAAATATACACCACTGACAGTTCTTCACTCAGAAAATTCCACGCTGTTTCTGATATTATCAATACAAGAGCCTGCTAATATGGATTAGTCGTCGCTAGAGGGCCTATACATTATTCCAAGGCTAGGGAAGCACTTCATTTTGAGAGCTTCTTTTGTTCATTTTTGACCATCATGAGCCGCTTAGCAAAGTAAATCTTAATTTCGTAGTTCACACGAGAGAACCTACAGCGTGCAAAGAGCCGCGAAAGCGCTCCACATCGTTATCCTTTGATAGTTGGTAGTCGGCTGACCTCCTCCTTTCTGTGTCGCAGCTACCATACTTTTTGTTCCTACGCGATCGTGAGAAAGGGCAAGCGCTGCGACTGAAGCCTTCCCTTTTGAAATGTCTACTCATGAGGGATGATGTAGGGATCACCTGTGAGAAGCTCATCACGAGAGACCTTGTGAGAACGTATTTGTTTTCACCTCTACAGTTTTGTGTTATGAAACTTCATCCTGATCACTGGCACGGTGGTCGTGTAGTGGCAGTTAGCACAATTGAAGACGCGACGGTGAGGTCAAATGCAGAATCGAGTCCTACCCAGGACAACCAAACCCTCTCCGCGGAGTTGGGCCGTCCCCTTCTCCCAACTGTTACACTGGCCAGGCTGAATTGAAGTACTATTACTTGTAAATGAAAGTTGGATGCATGGCGCAGAGAGGAAGGGGACCAGCCATTGTTCATGGAGGTGGCCAAGCTTTTCGAAACTAGGTAGATAATCAAAGAACGAACATTCTTCCATGCTTCTCCAAGAGCAGCAGATGAAGCATCCAGTAGGAAGACGATTGACTTTGTAGCAGAAGCGCTCTAAAACTCGAGACACATTTTCTGTCTTTTAACCATTGTTGTGACAGGTTTTTACGGTATTAGTTTTCTTCGAGAAATTGCTTTCGCCCACTCCGTAATGGTGGCCTCGTTTTAGTTCTTCTATATTCTTTCAACAGCGCTTACGACACCCCATCATATTAAATGATTCCACAGTGTAAGTATGAGTGCAACTAAATGTCCACAAAGGTGAGGCCGATTCACGACATTCCCTTCCACTCAAACACAAGAAGAAGAGAGCCTCAAAGAGTTCTTTTCTTCCAGTGAATCATGTAATAATAATAGTAATAAGCTGAGGATGATCTTACACTATCTGGGGGTGACGGGATATGAGCTGTTGATACGCGCAAGTTTGCTCCTTCTGTTGTGGTTGTCGCCTCAAGCTCAGACATTTCCGCAGTCGTTGAGAGTTCACGCACTCCAGCACGTTCCGTCTCTGCCTGGGAAACAGTGGTTCTCTCCGCTGCTCCAGGCGTCGTTCCATGCTTTTCCTTTGTAGTTTCCCAGGCCTCGGTTGTGGTAGCTGGTGTCCCATTGAGCCGCTGAACCAACCAGTCCCTTGCTTTCTCCAAACGGGCAGGATCCTGCATTGTCTGAATACTAACAGGTAAACTCTGGACTTGAGAGTACAAGAAATATGCCAACTTACCGTGAGATTTTGCGGGTCTGCTACGTTGTTGGGGTCGTGCGCGATTTCGTCCAAATTAGATCGATTCACGGGTTTTTCGATGGGGACGTAAATAATATCCGTGTTATTATTGTGCAACTGCAAAACGAATAAACAAGATGCGATGGGATAGGTGGCGAAATTATTTTGGAATGGCTCTCAGGATAGCCTAATAAATTACAGTATAAGTTTGAAACGCTTCTGTAACTTGTTTGCCATCCATGAGATCCCTACTAATCGAGCAATTATCAGAGCAAGCTTTTTTTCAATTTGAGTGACACCCCATATGAGGTTCAATAGTTTCACTTCGAACAACATAGCGTTTAGTAAGGATTACGTTCATAAAAATTGAGCAATCTAGTACATATAGCAGTTTTCGAGGTGGTACCAGCCTTCAAGCAATTGCATCCGCATGTTCAGCTGGATGGGTTTCGAAAAAAAAAAACACGAAATCATGAGAGCTCAAGTTAGCTCAGCACTCAACAAACAAAGATTTGCGATCGTTTAGAGGTTGTGCATAAATCACCTTATTTGCAACAGCGCGTTCGTCCTCATTTCCAGCTGAAGATATGTTACAAGTTGAAGTTTGGCCATTTGAGAACACGACTACACTCTTATCTTTACCGGTCTCCGCGCCTGAATACCATATTCATCAATGGATTCGAGGAGTACTACATAAAAAAATGGAGTCATCCCTTTATTAGAAGGTCCTTAGTAGTCCACTGCATACGCCTACTTCTTGCTC